GAGAGAACAGGTAAAATCTCTCTCTCTCTCTCTCTCTCTCTCTCTCTCTCTCTCTCTCTCTCCTCTCTCAAGGAGAGAATTTAGCAGTCAACAATTTACCTGAATGACCATATCACTTTCTTTTATAGAAAAAAGCCCTAGCCACACCCCATTTTGCCCTACATGTGCAAATATGCAAAGATAAACATGGCTTCCTTTCTTTGCTTCTGGGTTTGACCTTAAAGGATGCAGAATTTTGACAGTTTGGAAGTGGATAGTGTTTTCCTTTTATCTGTATGTTCTCTGCCCCACCCCCATGCCTACCCAGAAGACCATCTTTTCAAAAGTAGCAAGAGTATTGAAATATATCAGTAAGTCACTCATGGTTTCCCTTGCCTGACAATACAGCTTTGACTGCCTCAGAAACTGAAAACTATATCAGGGCACCATTTTCAAATTACCATTAAAGATTCATGATCAGCTAGATTTGGGCCAGGTGTCTGATTTTCTTTAAATGTAGGATCAAGTAGTTTAATTTGATAGAATTTCATGACAGAATTTAGAACTGCACATTTGAGCATAATTGCAGTTGTGAGAGCATCTCCAACCTACTCAGAAACCATGAAAAGGCTGAAGTGCTCCTGATGCAAATCTCTCTTTCTTTGCTCCCATAATAAACTTGTTCCATAAAGCAGATCTACCACAAACAGATTCTGATATTTTTGCCTATTAGGGTGCTGGCATATTAGAAATGCAAGGCTAGGGAAAAAATAAGAACCAAGATACATCATGTAAAGGTGCAAGATCCCAATCATGAATGTAACTGTATTTTATACCTAAAATGTACCAATAAACTTAATGAAAAAAAAAAAGAAATGCAAGGCTATTCTCCTCTTAATATAATCCCAGCCTCACCAAAAGTAAATATGCCCATTACTTCCTCTCTGTGAGAGAATGGGTAAGCAAGTTTGAAGAAAAGGATTTGGGGAGACAAACTAGTTCCTAATGAAGAAATATAAAATCCAGCAGGCATTTGGGCTGCAACAGACTGATGCAAAGTTTCTGAAAATAAAATAATTTTCATTCTCAATAAAGGAACTATGACAAATGAATAGGATATATTTAATTGAATTATATTTCTAAAGAATCAAAGTATTCTGCTTATGGTATGATGTAGTGGCATATAATTCAACTTGTATAAATTATAATAGAATTTTCATTTCAGGAATTATAAAACAGAATATGTAAAATAAAGTATTTTCCCTAGTACTCTAATTCATGTTCCCTGTGTAATCTCCACCTGTTAATTTCTTTGTAACACTGGATTTATGTCAGTATTTTAACAAATCTGGATGTGAAGTTAGGTTGACTTTTCAATTTTGCAAGGCACTATATCATAACATATGTTCTGAATCATCACAGACATATCTCACCTTTAATCAGCACTGAATTGCAATTCAGAAAATGTTTAATGGACTTAGTCACAGTTGCATAATTCTATACATTTATTTAGACCTCAATTTTTACAGATTTTGAACCATATAAAAGCACAAAACAAGCAATAAAGATTTGTGAAAATCTGCCATGGTGGATCTTCTAAAGTTTTTAATGGATAAAATAAATTTTAATTAAGCTTCCGATGTATTTATAAGTAACAAATACTCTGTTGTCTCACTATGTTCTCACTCAGCTCTTTTCTACTTCAAGACAATCTTTGGGGGTTAATTTATGAAAGTAAGTAGGCTATATATGTGCCAAAAATTTCAAAGATCAAGTTCTTTTTTTCTATTTTCTGGTTCTAATTTGATCCCAATTCAAAAGAAGCATTAAATGATTGTCGATGTGGAGAAGGCTATGAAGGCTGGTGACTAATTTGGGGTGAAAAACCAATAAGAATATGAAGAGCACTGAATAAATAAAGAGCCTAATCCATTTGAAAATCTAATACTAGAATGCTGTCACGGAGCGATCACCTTCTTAGAATACTGTTTGTCACAGTTTTTTGTTTGTCTGTTATGCAATGTCAGTGTGGCCAGGGGATTTTTCACAGTTAACTTATATTAAGTTGTCTAAATTTTTTTCTATAATATGTTCAGGAGATCTTTTATAAAATAAAGGGCCATTAAGTAGGAATATATACACATCTTTTATTTCAGGGTAGTTTAAATATGGTGTGATTAAATGGATTTACTTAAAATATCTTAGTATACATTAGATAAATTTGGTAAATTTTGAAACAACACATTTTGTTTCTTCAACTGAAAAATATTTTTAAAACATTCACCGTACTTATTTTATTGAAAAGTAAACGATTCTTAATTGACACATCACCATTCTGTTCTATGACACAGCGTAGTATATAAATGTATTGTTTGAAAAGTCACACACACGTGCTGATTTTATGTATTTCTACATTCCACCCTCTTGCTTCTTTCCAGGTGGGTTTCTAGGCCTCTGATTTTTTAAACCAATGTGCTGAACTTCAAAAAGTCACAATTTATGCATACAATTTCTTTTCCTGCTCAGATAAACTGCTGGGGTGGTTATGCTAAGTATATAAAAGCGGATTTAATGGCCAATAAATTTAAACGCAGAAACAGGCGGGACCTTCTAGATTGACTGCGAATGTCTACTTTCTAGCAATATGAAGAGCACCTGTACAACATTTGTGAAATCCAACCTCAGCTATCATCAGAGGCTGAATCATTGTGAATTTTTATGTCTTATCAGGTTTTCCCTAGACTAACAAATGGCTCCCTGCAAAACAAAAGCTATGTGCTATTCATATAATTTGTCCTTCTGGGCAGGAATTTATTTCATAGCTACATTTCAGGCTCTTTTGTCTTTCTGTATTTTTGGTATAATTAAAAATTATATTCTTTCAACAGTCGGAAATATGTCTCCTAAATTATTAATGCAAATAAAGCACTTTGTTGTGCAAGGGCATGGTACTACAGCTTTGAAGATAAATTTGTATCTCCATAATTATATAAGCAGAAATCACTTACTTTATCAATCTAATGGGCTGTTATGGCATGAATTTCTTCAACTGTATGGCACATACCTCACCCCTGAGCACACAGTTTTGGCAGCCTTTGATTCATTCATTCACTGAACAAATGTTTAGTGGGCAGTTTCTATAGCCCAGATATTACACTAGGTGCTGAAGGAGCAACTCAATTTTACTCACATCACTCAAGCCCATGCTGCAGCTTTGTCTATCTGGCCAGAGGACCACACTGAGGGAAATCATTTTTAGTATAAGGTCACTTAAGTGCACTTTTTTCCTGAAAAAAAAAGTAGATTTCTTTTCTTATATCCCCCAAAATGACCAATGAGTTAACTAAATTCTATGGCAGAGAGAGATTTTATGATGGTGTCTTAATATAGATTTTTTTTCTCATTTTTCCTAAAACCTGGATGAATGGAGCCATCCTGCATTACATGAACACTCTCGGCCTATTTTGTTTTCTAACTCAAGTCGACATGGTCATTTAAACTGAATATTCCTGATTGACTGAGACTGGTGTACATATTAATCTGATAGATATATTTTTCATGTTAAAAGTAATTCTTCCCCGAGAGCTTATTAAACACACACACACACACACACACAAAATGCCATTGATATAAGAAGTATAAATAAATCTTAAGCTGTGAAAAAAACCCTAGGAATCAATTAAATACACTATAAATTAAAATCTTCACAAGAAAATGTGAATGAGTTTATAAAGGCAATATACCAAGGACTATGACAAGTGTTTCATGGTGACTTAGCTTAAAAGATTGCTGTATTTGTTGAGGACCTTTTTTTTTTTAAAGTGCAATTCCCAAAACTTAGTATGGTGATTTATTTGTGCCGCTGAGATGTTAAGCCTAGCTATTAGGGTTTGTATTCAGGGAAGAAATGAATAATAAATATTTAGATAGAGCTACTTTGAGGGGAGGTCAGAGAAAAAAGCTGTGAGAGGTCAATGTCATTAATTTTCTTATCTTATAAATAGAACAAACTATGGAATGTCCCTACTGAACTTTCTAAATATTTATTTGTTTTAGAATCAGTGTTGGTATTTAAAGACCTCAAAGCATGGAGAATTCTTCTGGTGGAAAAAATAAGAGAAAGAGTACTAATATTTAGGGTTCATATTGGTCCCTAAAATAACACGCTGAAAAAGTGCTTCCCTGACTCCCATAGAGCAGTTTTGTGAGGCTTCTCCAGCATTATAGGAATGCAAAATGTATTCAGAAGAAAGAATAGTTAGCAATTTGAGGTTTCCACAAACTCTACCACATTTACCACAAATGGAATTGGCTCTTCTTTGGATAAGGCTCTTATTCAGATACCAACCCAACCAAAACCCAAACGTCATAAGGAGCTAATTTGATATACTGAGCAATATTTAAATAACATTAATGTTAATGCATGTTGTGGATACATTTTTTTCAATCTAAACTGTTTTTTAGAAAAGACAAGTGGGACTAAGAGACAGAGGATGAGTGAGAGAGAATGAAAGAGAACACAGAACACCAACATCCTTGAACAAAAACAAACCACTATCCCCTTGTCTTCAATGATAGATGCGCTTAAATGCCCCAGGCACTCAGTATATTGGAATATGAACTGTTCTTATCTCCCCAATAGGCCAAGATCATTTATAATAATGTTTTCATCACATAAATAATCACATATCCAGCTGCAAATGGCAGAGACCCAGAAACACCAGACTGTTATTAATATATTTTTCTTTGTTTATGTTTCAGTACTTTTGGCAAATAAGGGATTATCTATGCTTCTCAGACCATTTAGCTTTCTATCAAAAATTCCATTTCAGCGCATAAACAATGGCATGCCAAAGATGCCTCCATTCACAAGGCTTGGAAATACTTGTTGTCAAAAGTTGTGAACATGCAAGTTGGAAAAGTGTTCTCTTTCATGCTCCTGTCTGGATTATTTCATTAGACAATGAAATGGGCTGCCCTTTCCGTCCATCATTAGAGCAGCTGGAGACAGCATTGGCTACCTGGCAGAACTTTCGAAGAAGGATCTTTCTTAGCAGCAGATAAACCCAGGGATCCAAGATCTGGTTCAGTGAAGCCAGACGAACAGCTATTAAGAAGAAATGGCATTCTTTCTGCTTTTCCGTCTGTGTCTTGCAGTGCTCAACTGATGTCTGATTGAAGATCATTCTCAACATCATTATCTAAGAAAGAAGAACAAATAATTTTCCAAAGATCAGTACAGTCATGGACATCTCCTCTGTACAGTACTGGGTTTTCAGTAAGTCAGTTGTTAAATTGAGATGATTAATTCCAGTAACATTTACAATCACAGGAAACAGTCCCGAATTAAAGAAGACATGCCTATGGATTTTCCCACATTTTTTTTCGTTGTTTGACATGATGTAGCCTTCTAAAAAAATGTGCATGTTTTCAGCTCTTGGTCCTTGGGATTTAAGAAGCTTGAAAATAGCACATCTTGCAATTAACCAAATCCATCTTCCTTGCTGCTAAAAACACCAGTAGATCAAGACTCAAAGGAGAGCCAACTGTTCAACAATAATCAGAGCACAGTTGAACTTAAACTTCAGTATTTCTAACTACAAGAAATCACTAAAGAAAGAGAAGCAGCAAGATAGGAGAAAACAATTACCATGTCAATGTTGTTATTAGTATCTTCAGCATCTTTAATTTGCCAAGCAACATGTCAAGTCTTTCATATGTATTTAAAAAACAATGTAAGATAGATGCTATTACTATGTCCTTTTTACAGTTGCAGACACCAAGAGTTAATGATATAAAATGGCTGAGCTAAACTCAAATCTAAGTTCACTCATACCATAAGGCATATGGCATTTTCCTTTTTTAAATGTTTTTGGTCTCCCTCCATGGACGAGAATGTAAACTCCATGATGGCATGGATTTGGGACTACTGTTCTCCCACTGATGTATTTTCAGTGACTAGACCAAATTTAGGAGTTAGTAGGTGCTCACTACGTATATTTATATTTGAAGAAATATATTATGAATATAAGATATGTAAGTATATTTATATTTGAGTTGATAAATATTCATGAGTGAATGTGATTTTGTTTTCCCACAAGAGAAAAAGTGAAGGTTTATATGGATATAAAAAGATGTTCAAATTCATTAATCACCAGAAAAATGTGAACTATGACAAAATAAGCCCAAGTGAAGGCCCAAGTGAAGAAATGTGACTGTGTCAAATGTCACTGAGCTTGTGGAGCCATGAGGTTCTTCCACGGTACGCTGGGCGTGTGAACTGAAGCAACCAACGCATTACGCAGCTGGACGCTACTTCACTTGCTTCCTCCCAGCAGGACAGCTCCTAGGAATGTGCCACAGGTCTCTCTGCCCCAGGAGTGTGTGTGTGACTGTTCCTAACAGTGTTGTTCATCACAGTAAAAAAGCAGGAACAGCCCAAACATGCGTTTGGTAAAGAAAAGAAGTGCTTTTTTTTATAACCATCTACTTAATCCACCTTGCTAGGCCTACACTGCTATTGAGCTCTTGCAATGTGGAAGCTATACTATGTGTGATCATTAATCCTGATATTGTGTTCAATACAACATATTATTAAAATTAATGTCACTTGTTTCTTTTTGCTTGTTCAAAGCGTGGCCATAGAGAACAAGATTAAATATGTGGCTGCATTTTGATGCCTACAGTACATTTCTAGGGATCCCGACCTCTCCCTGGGGCACACACTTTCTGTGGTTGACCTGCCCACATATTCCAAACTGAATTCAACATTCTGGAGCACTCAACACATCCTCAACCACACACAATGAAATCGCACACCTCTAGTTCAATAGATCAAGGTCACTGTTGAATTACTCCTTTGCCTCCTCCTCTGCACCGCCTTTTTGTCTTGATGCATTCTCCCTGATTTCAAACCCTCTTTTAGATCTGAATTATAGCAGTAACAGACATCCAGGTGGTGCATGCTATGGAATGAATGCTTGTGCTCTCTCAGAATTCATAGCTTGAAGACCTGCTCCTTAATAGGATGGTGATGGGTACTGGGGCTCTGAGGCAGGAATGGGGTCACGCAAGTAGCATCATCGTGATAGGATTAGGATCCTTACCAGAAGGGGGAAAAATACCAGGGCTCTGTCCCTCTGGTCCGTGTGGACACAGCCAGAAGACAGCTATCTGCAAGTGAGTTAAAGGGCTTTTGTCTGGACCCAAATCAGCCAGCTTCTTGATCTTGGACTTCCCAGACTTCAGGACAATAAGAAATAAATGCTTTTTAACTCCTCAGTCTGTAGTATTCCACTTTTGCAGAAACTGAAGCAGACTAAGTAAGACAAGACATATAGATGCTATCCCATCACAGATTCAGCTTTCTAAATCCAAGCTCCAATCAAATCCTCTCCACTATCAAAATATCAGTATCTTCCCATTGTCTACCAAATAAAAATTTAACTTCAGTATTTAAGGATTTCTACATTCTACTTCAAGCTAGTCTTACCTCTTGTTAACTAGCCTGCACAGACTAAATTCTAGCTATGTCTCACTGATGTAGAATATCCCTTTATTCTTTCCTATTTCTTGGCTTTTACTTCTATTCTCTGCCCTTGGAATACTTTCAATCCTAGTATCCATTTCTACTCTTGAGAATTCTGTGTCTTTTGAGACCTCACCAGTCTTTTCTGTCGTCTGTGGAAGGATGATATTAACAGGCAGCAACATAATGTCCTTCAAAAACGAGGAATGAAGGAAAAAATAGTGGCCCCTAAGAGTTAACATGGACATAAGACCAGTACCTAGCCCCAAGGTACTACAACTCGACTACAAGCAAAGAAGAAAGTATTTATATATCTATTTGCTCTGGGAAAAAGAATAACCATGGAGTTTGATCAGTTTGTATTCTTCACCCCTACTGTGAGATTAAAAATATAATTAGCTATATTTGCTTGATGCTAGTAAATAGTTGATTCTTTGAACTCCCCATGTCCTGAGTCTTTTTCCACCTAGTTGAGAACTATTGGTCTCAGTATTGATAAATCAACAGGAAGAGAGAGCTGGGTCATGGGATTTCTAGCACTGCCAGTTCTGCTTACATAATCTCAATTTTATCTTGAAAACACAAGTACATAGAAAAGATGCAGGTGGGCAGCTAATTAGACAGAAGGGGGGAGGAGAGAGAGTGAGAGGAAAAATGACATCAAAATTCTTATAAGGCTATATGTAGACACTGGCCTCCAGCCATGGTCCTTCCTTCTCATTGAATCACAGATAATTCTAAACTGGGGATTGAAAGGGGATGAGGACTTCCAGGCTTGGCTTATAAAACAAATTCATGCTCTGGGTATGATCCATGGTCCTGGACCAGATTTCCCCTGAATATGCAGATGAAATTATTGTCCTCTAAACAAATAAGAAGAGAGGGATCAGCAGGCAGCCAGTAGACAGCCACATATTCTGACTCTATTTTAATTTGTGGGAGTTATTCCAAGGAATTTTTATTCAATAAAAGCATGCTAATTTTTAGAAACATTATCTATCCTAGTAAACAACCTATAAACACATACATCTCTAACATCAGATGTAAAGCTTAATAAAGTCCAACTAATTCACATAATAGTTTATACAAGAATTAAATGAAAACAAATGAATATTAAATAAATTATATATAAAGTTTTATTGTTTTTATAATTACGTAAAATATATAGACTTGTAGAAAGTATGAAATAATTCCTATTAAACAATAATTTATTACTGAACATTAGTCACTAAATTAATTTAAAATTTTTATATACACAAGAGCATTTCAAATGATCTAAGAAAATATCTTTACTTAAAGAAAGTGGATGGTTTCCTTTTCATTAATTAATACTACTTTATAGCAAGTTTATTTAAATTTATTTCCATTAATATCTTTGGATGCTGACTCTGGTCCTGTGCAGTAATACTGTCCACCACTGCACAGGCAAATGAGCAGAATAATGGCCCTCACAAAAGCAGTCATTTTTCACTCCCTGAACCTTTGAATAAGGAGCACATGTGGTAAAACGACTGCGTATGACAGAAGGCAAGCACCATGTGATGGGGAGATTGTCTTGGGTTACCTGTGTGAGTCCAGTGTAATTATACGGGCCCTTAAAATCAGAGAGCGTCTCCCAGCTGCGGTGAGAGAGGCAGGTTGTGGGAGAGCGGGCAGAGAAACGTCACATTACCAGCGTCAAAGTCCTAGGAAGCCAGGATTAAGGAATGTAGGCAGTCTCTTCTGCAACTGAAAAAGGCAAGGTAAGTTTTCCTTAAAACCTCCATAAAGGAATACAGCCTTGTGAACACCTGAATTTCAGTCCAGGGGGCCCCAGGACACACTTCTAACGTACAGAACTATAACAGAAACTTGTATGGTGTTGAACCCTCTAAGTTCATGGTAATTTGTCAGAGCAATGGTAGAAAATTAATACAACTCTTCACTTTTGGGGGAAAGCATTTTTGAAAAGTATAAATGAAGTCAACGTAAATTTTTCATTCTAACTCTTATTTACGTTACCTCAGTTTCTAAATTGACAACATGCAAAAAGTGGCATCCAGTTAGATTTCAAGGTACAAAATTACTAAAAGGTAATTACTGGGGCCAGGGATTTAGCTCAGTGGTTTCACCACCTGCTGCACAAGTGCAAGGACCCAAGTTTGATCCCCAGTACCAAAAAAAAAAAAGGTAATTACTAAATTACTGAAAGGTACAAAATTACTATTTTCAACTCAGTCACCTTTATCACAGAAATATGCTCATTAACCCATTTTCCCTCTTTCTATAAACTGTTGAAAAATTTTAGTCTAGCTCTCTTAGCCCCTTACTTTGTCCAATACTTGCTGTCTTCGGAAGCATTCTGGCCCTGCCATAGAATTATTTAAAAACTCATGAAAATTGTTATTTTCACTTCCTATTATAAAATGAAGTATTAAATTTCTCTAACTTTTATGGTCAGGAAAATTTACAAAATTACTTAATAAAATGAGATTTCAGTTATTTTAAAACTAATTTCTATGAGGCTAATAATTTAAAGTTAATTTCATGAAGCTAATGTAGGTTTCATTTGCCTTACATTGTTTAGTACCCTAATTCCCTATTGACAATGCCATGATTATGAAATTATGCAGCCGAGCTCTGTAAGCAATAGCTGGCACCTGAATAGAGACACTAGCTTTTCCCAGAAATCAC